CTACGGTTAAATCGACAAAAAGGATTTAAACTACAAAAAACACTTTATGGCCAAGAAATCTTTTTTTTAATATTTAAAAACATTAATAGACTGAAAGATATAAAAACATCTTACCTTTGGCGGTTCTAATTTTAGGGAGTAGGAAGATGAAGCTTTTCGGGCAAATTTGAAGGAAGGCGACTGAAAAACATCATAAATATGTTACTCAAGAATCTCCAGAAATGTCTATCGGGGGTAATTTTAAACTGAAATAAGAAATTTTTGAAGATACAAAAAGGATGCACGAGAAAAGGTTGGCTGAAAATGTAAAAATCAAGAGTAAGAATTTCTTTAAATATATTAAGGGTGAACAAAATGTTAGGATGGGGGTAGGACTCTTGAGGGATGATAAAGGAAGGCTTGTATCTGATGATTACGAGAATTATGATTTTTCTTCGATTTAAACAGTATTCCTCAACTTAAACAGTTGGCAGATGGAAACAAGACCAAACAAGATGGCTGCATTAATTCTGAGCTTGTTAAGAAAAGTTTAAAGAATGATAAGACTCCTGGGCCAGACAATATTTCCCAAAGGGTTTTTAAGGAGGTTAAGGATTGGATATGTGAGCCACTTGCTACTATTTTTTTTGTAATTCCTTGGAGGTACCAGAGGATTGGAAGTTAGCTAATGTAACTCTTCTTTCCAAGAGAGGTGATAAAAATTGTCCCAGTAATTATAGACCCATTAGTCTTACATCAGTTGTGGGAAAAGTTTTGGAAAGTCTGTTAAAAGATGTTTTGCAAAGTCATTTAACAAAGTTTAGAATTTTATTGGATAGTCAACATAGTTACACCTAGAGAAAATCTTGTCTTACAAATCTTTTAACATTGTCTGAAAATGTTACTACTTATTTAGATGAGGGTAAGGGTGTAGATTTGGTGCATCTGGATTTTCAGGAAGCATATGACAAGGTGCCACATAAAAGGTTTGTAAAAACATTCTCTATAGGTGAGGGGGATAAGTTAGCAAATTGGATAGAAGAGTGGCAAGATGGAAGAAAGCAGAGGATTGTTACAAATGGAGATCAGTCAAACTGGATTAATGTCATAAGTGGGGTACCTCAGGGTTCATTCTTAGGACCTTCGCTCATTTTGATTTACATCAATGATATACATGAAGGAATAGTCAATAAATTAATCAAATTTGCAGATGATATTAAGGTCTTTGGTTTTGCTAGCTGTGAAGAGGATGCTGCTGATTTACAAAAGGATTTAGATCATTTAGTGAATTGGGCAAATAAATGCCAAATGGGTTTTAATTATAATAAATGCAAGATAATGCACGTGGGTTATATCATAATTTGAATTATAAGTATAATTTTGATGGGAATAACTTCACAATATCACGAAAAAAAGGAATAATGGTGAAATAGTTGATCAGTCTCTTAAGCCATCCAAGCAGGATGCTAGTGCTAGTGGTAGGGTAAGTATGATTTTAGGTCGTATCTACAGAAATGCCGAATATAAGTCTAAAGAGGTTATAATTTCATTGTATAGGCCAAATTTAGAATATTGTATTCTGTCATGGGCTACTTACCTTAGGAAGGACATTGAATTGTTGGAAAGGGTTCAGAGAAGGGTTATTAGAATGGTGCCTGGGATGGAGAGGTTGTTATAAGAAAAAAGATTAAGATCTTTGAAATGGATTTTTCTTGAAAAAAGAAGAGTTAGGTGGATCTGATTGAGGTGTTTAAGATTGTAATGGGAATTGATAGTGTTAATGCATCATCTTTTTTCATACTTAACAGTGAGAACTGTAGAACTAAGGGACACAAATATAAATTTTGGCAGGATAGGAGTCACCTTCAGCTAAGACAGTTAAATTTTTTCTAACAGAGTGGTTGGGTTTTGGAATGGGTTGCCTTCGGATGTGATGGAGGCAGTAAATTTAAGCGAGTTTAAGAGAAAGCTTGATAAACATATAAATGATGAGGGCTGGCTTTAAGATTCTTTTAAAAATTTTATTTATTAATTTTAGTTTAGTTTAGAGGATGGGACCAAACAATTGGTCCCGTGTTGTTTCAAAACGTTAAGTTATGTTCTATTACATACAGCAAACGTGACATTCCTGAACACTTACAGAAATATTTATAATCACTATTTCTTCTATAAAAAAAGTCAACATTTTTGTAAAATAATTAATGCTTAAAGTATCTGAATATCTTTAAATGTTTACTTTCATAAAAATCAAGAAATTCAGAAATAAAAACCGAATGGAGTGAACGTTTTTATTTTTGAAAATGTAAATTCGTAAAATAGAAAAATGTTTTTTTTTTCCAAAGTTACTCCCCACCTCCTTCCCTTTCACGTCATTTGAAAGCGACCAATAACGTTTAATTGTTTATGTAGATTACTCAGCGACATCTGTGCGACTGACTTTTAAAGATTTTCAGCAGTTCGGATACTTTGGTTAATTAACAAAGTTTGTTGCTCACAGGCACTTTTAGAGTTTCATATATATCGAACACTTAAGTTGAAGTCGTCATAATAACTACACAATTAGACAAATCGACGGATGAAAAAAAAACACTCACGCAACATTCTCTGAACTGCTTGGCATCGATAGGTGATGTAAAGTTTAGCCCCCAGGTGTCGCCTGTTGACGTGTCTTTCCAGTAAACAAAACACTCGGAAGCCTGGCCTAGTCGGGTGCCTTAGGGAGATAAAGTACGAATTGATTAGCTACTTTTTAATGATGTCAGAAGGCCAATAATATTAGTGTTAGATCAAATTAATTATCGCTACAGTCCTAAGAGTTAAAGCGACGAACAAACAACAACATTGTACAGTGAATATATGTTTGACAACATCGTAATAATTTATTAAGCCTAAACAATTAATATTTTTTTCCTGTTGAGTAGTTGATTTATGATTTAGTATTCACAGCTACACTAAACCGAAGCTATTTCTCCAATGCTTTGGTTTTATAAGTTTATTTGACGTATTTTCAGCACATTGATTTCATTATGTTCTCTGGTATTCAAAATTTAGGCTTACAAATCTTTTACGACATATATATATATATATATATATATATATATATA